TCAGATAAGCAGAGATATAGTCAGATGGGTAGCCAGCCTGGGAACCTTGGTGGTCACACAGGGAAGCCACAGAAGAGATGGGCCATCCAAGGGAAAGACATGGAAGAGAAAGGTCATAAGAAGGCAGAGATCATGAAAAGCAGAGGTTATAGAAAGTAGAGGTCATGGAAGGGAGAGAACACTGAAATGAGATGCCCTGGAAGGAGGATGTCATGGAAGAGAGAAGTTATGGAATAGAATAGGTCCTTAAAGACAGAGGCCACAGGGAGGAGAGACCACGCGCTGAGGAGGAAGAGTGGATGGTGTCAGGTCAGTGGCAAGCCCATCAAGAGAGGGAGAAGACTCAGGTGTTGCCTTTTGGTTACCATCACCATTTTTTTTTTAAACATAGAGACTTGCTTTGTAGCTGTGGTGGTTTGAATAAGAATGGCCCTAGGGCTGGAGAGATGGCTCAGTGGTTGAGAGCACTGGCTGCTCTTCCAGAGGACCCAGGTTCAACTCCCAGCACCCACATGGTGGCTCACAACTGTCTGTAACTCCAAGATCTGACACTCTCACACAGACACACATGTAGGCAAAACACCAGTGCACATAAAATAAGAATAAAAAAATAAAATTATAAAAAAGAATGGCCCCCATAGGCTCATATACTTGAATGTTTAGTTACCAGAGAGTGGAACTGTTTGAAAGGATTAGAAGGATTAAGAGGTGTGGCCTTGTTGGAGGAAAACTTCACTTTTGAGGTTTCAAAAGCCCAAGCTTGGTCCAGCCTCTCCCCTCACTTCTCTCTCTCTTTCTCTCTCTCTCTCTCTCTCTCTCCCTCTCCCTCTCCCTCTCCCTCTCCCTCTCCCTCTCCCCCCTCTGTCCTTGCTGTGGGTAGGATGTAGAACTCTCAGCTACTCCAGCATGACAGCATGATGCCTGCCTGTGCCTCCATGCTCCCAGCCATGATGATAATGAACTAAAACTCTGAAACTGTAAGCCAGCCCCAATTAAATGCTTTCTTTTCTAAGAGTTGCCTTGGTTGTGGTGTCTCTTCACAGCAATAGAACACTGACTAAGACAGTAGGCCAGGTTGGCCTTGAATTTGTGATCCTCCTGAGTGCCAGCTTACCAAACCTGCCTCATCGAGAACCCAGTCTTGATGTTGGCCTGGGTAAAAGGATGGATGGCTGCTGGGGACACAGTATATAGATGCTTTCCCACAGGGCTGCCCTAACAGGAGCCCCCAAATGGGACACCTTCTGAAAACCACCAGAGCCCCATTTACTGTCCAACAAAGACATCCAGTAACTTGGATCAGAGAACTAGCACAGCCTCCACCTTCGAAGTTTCTCTCCAGGATGCCGTCTATAGAACAAGGTCCTCCTACTCCAGAACTCAGCACTCATACTTTTGAAATTAGGAATTTCATTCATTTCATCATGATCTTGAAATAGGGTAATGGAGTTACGCCAATGAATAGCCCAGCACAACATGGGCAATGCAATAAAGGGGGAAGTAATAAACGGCGACTGCCAGTCCCTCCACACTGGCTTGGCTCATTTTAGGAAATAAAAGTAATTATCACCTGTGCAACCTGGCCGGCCTGCTCTGTACGTGGGGAAGAAAACAATTTCAGAACTTTATTTCCTATATTGAATGTCGATAATTGGATGTATTTATAAGTCTCGCTGGAAGAAAGCAGCTTGTGATTTCAAGATGAGAAAACAGTCTTCCAAAGACTGAAAAACAATATATTCCCCATTTTCACACACACAAAAAGAGCTTGTTTCTTCGAGGTGTTGAAGGGGCTGCTGGAATGATTTGCTTTTCTGAAGCCACCGTTCCATTTCTCATCATGAATTGCCTCGTAGACCCTGGCAAAGCACCCAGCAGGGACCACTTCATCTGACGCAGTGACGGGGGCTTCACGGGGAAGGCCCCTTGGCTGCTGCCTGCCTCTGTTCTGCAGGAAGATGGATGCCCAGATGAACCAGGCCAGCGAAAGAGGAACAGGGTGTGATGTAGGGCCTTCCTGGGGCTGATGGTGTGGTCCCAGAGAACACGGCAAGCCACTGGCCTTGGAAGTAGGAAAGCTAAGGTTGGCCCAGCCATTATCACAATGGGCAAGGACTCGGGCCTGCTAGTACCATGACAGAAGAACAGCCACCTAGGTGTGTGCTGTGGTTTGAAGGAGAAATGTCCCCTACAGACCTGTGCCTGAACACTTGATCCCTGGTTGGTGGGAGACTGCCGAACCTTTGGACTATGGCCTAGTTCACAGAAGCAGGTCTCTGGGAGGAAAACTTTGAAGGTGATAACTGCTTCTGGACTGATCCACTAAGATGTGAGAAGCTGCCACCCCAGGCTCCTGCCACTGTGCATAGAGCTGCCCTGGGAGCCATGCCCTCCCTGCCATGGACTGTGGCTCCTCATTCTAGCTTTGTTTCTGATGCTGTGGCAGAAGGCCACATAGGGGAGAAAAGGTCTTATTTCTGATCATGAATCCAGGCTGCAATCCATTGCTTTGGGGAAGTCAAGGCAGGAATGTCACACAGCTTGGCCACATCGCATCCACAGTCAAGAGCAGAGAGACACAGATGCACGCATGCTCACTCGCTTGCTTGCAGTCAAGAGCAGAGACAAGAATGCATGCATGCTCGCTTGCTTGCAGTCAAGAGCAGAGACACAAATGCACGCATGCTCACTCGCTTGCTTGCTTGAGCTCAGTCCTCTATCTCGACTCACAGAGTTCAGGACCACCTGTCTAGGGATTGGAGCTGCCCATAGTGGGCTGGACTTTCCCACATCAATAAAATTAATTCAGCTAATCCCTTCCCTCAGACATAATTCAATCTAAACAGTCACTCCCTGAGACTCTCTGAGTGACCCTGGGTTGTGTCAAGTTGACAACTCAAGTTAACCGTCACAGCCTCTAACACGGGCCCAAATGAACCGTTTCTCCTTTAAGTTGCTCCTGTCAGGTCTGGGGGCACAGCGATGAGTAAGCTAACTAATATATCATGTCCTGTCTGTCACATGCCTTCAAGTCCCGCCTGGGAGAGGTGAGCTTGGAATATATGCTCCTGTCCGTATCTGTCACACACACACCCCATGTTGACATGAATTAACATGAGTCAGAGACCCAGTGGGCCAGCAGTGTCCATGGAGCTGTGGGGAGTGGTGGTGAGTAGGGGTGAGTAGGGCAGGGCAAGTTGGTCTAACACAGTGCCACAGGAGAAGGAGGACCTTGCCCAGGGTGGATCTCCTGCACGTGTGTCTAGGACAGGGCTCTTCTGGAGAAAAATATTACACCGGCAACTGAGCTAATAAAGCCACCACCTGTAGGCCGTTACAAGGCCAGACCTTGTCTCCGAGGACCCCATGACCTCAGATGTGATGCGGCCCAGTGTGAGGTGCGAGCGCGCTGCCTGGCACACTTCCTCAGCTGATTTACACACTCCCACGCTGACTCTCTAAAATCAATCTTTCCCCAATTGCCTCCTGGCTCTCAGCAGCGTCCGGGTCTGTCCTGCATGAGTAACTCCAAAATGTTCTCCCACACCCTGAGCGGCTTCTCCTAGAGTCCCCGCCAGAGCCTCTGATGGGCAGGAGCAGGGGAGGGGCAGGCTCTGGCACAGCCTCCCATGGGGAGTTCGGATAGGTGGTGGGGCATGCTGGGATCCAACTGGAGAGCAGCGAGGAGCTGGGAAGGCTTGCAGGAAAGGCTCTTGAGCAAGTGTGGGGGAGGGACAGCCCTGCTGGAGCCTCCGGTGGGGAAGGGTGGGGAGAGGCAGGGAGTGTCTGACATACAAAACTGTCAGAGCAGACCCTGCCTAGAGGCCCGCTGTCCAGATGGGCCTGGGTGGGCAGGAGCCGTGGGCAGTCCGTCCCTGTTACAACCACAGAAAGAGTGCTCCATTCAGTGGCTGGGTGTTCTCTGCCTCTCTTGTAAATATTTAGGATAATTACTTCTTTTACACATTAATAAGCATTAAGCTGGCAGCTGGCTTAATTTTGACATATTTTATGTCAAAAGAAGTGGGGTTGTGATTAGCTGGGGGCAGGTTTTCCTACTACAAACCGACACGAATAGCTTTCTGCTCATCCTTTGCTATTTTTAAAAAGTGTCCCTTAGTAGGGAGTCGAGACTCTTCAGCTGAAGATGGAGCTAATATGCGCATGTGCACCGTGTGTGTGTGTGTGTGTGTGTGTGTGTGTGTGTGTGTGTGTGTGTTTCCAAGTTCTCAAGAACATGTTACTTATCCTTCCGGGCCTCAGTCTCCTCTTCTGTAAAATGGTGCTAAGATAGTACCTATCTCATGGGGCTTTTGCGAGACCTCTGTGAGCAGTAACATCTGCAAAGAATTTGAACCAGTGCCTGTAAGTGCTTGGGACCTGCTGAGGGTAGGGAGGGCAACGTCTGCCTTCTGATGTGGGATCTACATCAGATGTAGTCCGTTCTCTTTAGTAGGTCTCTGCCCTAGCCTGGCTCTACAGACTTCCCTCTCCTCACCCCCCAGCTTCTCTTCCTTCAGCTCCTCCATTCTGCACTTGAGGCTTGCACAAGATCTTAATAGATTTAACTCCCCAGTCTTACATTCAAGGCCCTGCAGGTCTCCTTATCTCTCCGGCCACAGCCTCTCTCCCCATACTCCCTTTCTGGGATGCTGAAGGCTTCTGTTACTCCAGTTACCCCAGCTCTCTGCCATCCTTGACCTTCCTCCCCATGGTTTCTTTACTCCTGTATGTTCTTCCCGCGGGTGGGGTGCCACAACATAAGGTCAGGGGCTGACCCAGAATCAAGTCATCTCCTGTCTCAGACACTTCCTCCCACGAGGGAAAGCCTCGTGGTTGCTGCAAAGGTCCCTCCTGGCTCCAGGCTGGAACCTGAGATGTCCTGCACAGACCCTTAACCCCTCCAGGGCTCCGCCTCTTCTGGGTGTGCAGTCCGGAGCCGGAGGTGGGAGGGGCCTGCCGACTGGCCCCGCCCCCGTTCGCTTAAAGACCCGCCCCTGGTCCCGCCCCATCCTCCTCCTCAGGACCAGGGCAGGTTCAGCTGACGCCGCACTCCACGTGACGCTAGCGCCGAGTGAACATGGCGTCCACCGCACGGTGAGTCCTAAGTTTGCCCCTCGCTCCTGCCTGAGGGCGCGTAGAAGTGGCCTGCCTCGGTGTTCCGGGCTGGACAGTTGGTGACAGGCCCCTGGGCTCAGACTGGGCTTGCTGTGTGGCCGCGGGTTGCGTGCTTCTTCTCGCGGGCACCGAAACCGAGCGCCTGGCGAGTGGTACCCGCAGCGTCCCTGCACGCTTGTGGCTGCCCACCGGCCCTCGAAGGCGGCCCTGGAGCCCATCGTGTGGCGGCCTCACGGTCTGTGGCAGAGATAGGAGCTTGACAAACCTGTTCACTGCCACGCCCCTCCGATGGGGTGGGCTCCAGGTCCCCAGGCACTTCCCCAAGAGTGAGGGAAGCTTTTGGAGTGGGCGTGGAATCCCGGTTTCTCAGACCAGCACTTCCCTCATTTCTTTCCTGGCCCAAACGTCAGCTCCTCTAAGACACTTTCCCTTAACTATGTGATCAACTCTACAGTGCCTGGTTTTCTACGTGTCAGTTGTCTCCTCTCTGTCTCTAATGCGGGCTTCATGTTGGGCCTCACTAGCCCAGTGCCTTGCTCGTTTTAGGTTGGCCTTAATTCTGCAGGATTAAAAAAAGGTCGGTGGTCCTGTTGGGAGGAAGTGTGGACCGATGGGCTCACTCAGTCTTGGGGACAGGGAGAGTAGGGTGCATTCCTGAGCTAGTAGGTGTGGTGACCGGTGACCTCTCCAGACTTTGTCCTGGGGGAGCAGGAAGGATTGTCATCTGGGATCTGCTTTTTAAATTTTTTTTTTTTTTTTTTTTTTTTACAAGGGTCTCACTCTGCAGCACAGGCTGACCTGGAACTCTTTTTGCTCTGCCCTTCAGAGTGCTGGCATGGCAAGCATGTAGCACTACACTGCTTGCATCTACGTCTTCTTTTTCTTCTTTTGGTTTTTTGAGACAGGGTTTCTCTGTGTAGCTCTGGCTGTCCTGGAACTCACTCTGTAGACCAGGCTGGCCTCGAACTCACAGAGATCCACCTGCCTCTGCCTCATGAGTGCTGAGATTAGAGGCATGCGCCACCACTGCCTGGTGGCAGTGGGATCTGCTTCTTAAAGAGCCTGATAGCTTGCGCTGTGATTTCCGTGGGAGGGAGTGTGGACCTAGTGGTACAGGGTGTTAGGAAGGGTAGGGGTAGAAGAGGGCAACTCTCCACACACAGGGTTGGGAACTGAGATAAGTGTGGGGAAACTCGTGGACCAACTGCATCTCTCTATATGAGATGAGGGTGTCTTCGATGGCTTCCAAGGATGGGAGAGCTTTGAATGTAGCAATCATTTAGTGGGTACCTGTTGTTTTCCAGGAATAACACTGGGCCGTTAAAGCTGATTGACATGTGGGATTCTGTCGTCTAACTCTCTGCCTCTGATCTTGGTCTGCGCCAATGAGAAGTATGGGCTCTAGGGTCATGGGGTGGTCTTTGTGCTAGGTGGTCTTTGGGGTGAACTTTAAACAGTGAGACACACTTAGGGTGGAGAACTGTGCAAAGTCCTGGTAAGTGTCCAAGAACCAGGACCAGAACTTTGAGCCCAGCCTTTGACCTTCTGTTAAGCACAGAATAAGTATGGGCAGGTATCGGTCTGTGGGGTCTCATCTGTCCATCTGGGCTGGCCAGGTGGTCACAGGCATTTCAGCAGCTGTATTTGAGTTTGAGGTTTCAGGCTGGTCCAAGACTTGTTTTTTTCTGGAAGAATCCTAAGCTGGGTTAGGAACTGGCCAGCTCTTCAAAGGAAGCCTCTTGTAGCCAAGCTGGTTCTCTGAGGTCATCACGTGAGATGATTGAAATGGTGACCCAGATCTTGGGGAGGCGCATTTACCAGGAAACATAACAGATGTGGGCAGTGTCCACAGTTGGCCAGGGCCTCCTTGGGAAGAGCCATCTCAGAATGGTTGTAGAAATGTCCTGAGAAATGTTGAGGCTGAGTTGAGTCCAGTAACTTCCTTAAGGGGACACGTTTGGAGGATGTTCCTTAGAAAGATGGGCTGTCTACTGCTGCATTCACATGATAGGTCAGTATGTCAGTTGTCTCCCCTTTTTTGCAAGTGCCAAGGTTGTAACCCAGGACTTGCTTGGGCCAGGCCTGGTGTTCTACCACTAAACTTTATTCTCAGCATTTTTTTTTTAATTTAGTTTTTTGAGATAGGGACTTGCTCTATGTAGGCCTTGAACTCATGATCATCTTGCATAAGCTTCCAGAGTCCTGGGATTACAGGCTTATGCCACCATGCCTAGCTAAGAGTGTCAGATATAATGCACCCCAATTCATAGCCACAGGCTTCCAATGAGTCAGAGTTGGTTTCCTGCAGAGTCCCAGTAAAGCTTGGGAACAGGAGGCTCGTGAGAATCTCAGGGGTGCTCCATATGAGTTGGGGAGCAGTAGGAGCCCTAAGTAGCATCCCAGACTCAGTGAGAAACTCCCGAATTCTGTGCACTGGTAGGAGGTAGCCCTGCTTTCTCCTTGAGCCATGCTCTGCGTTTTCTATGTACCTGTCTGCATTTGTTGCCCTGTGTTCTTGTTCTGAGACCTGCTCACCTAATGGCCCTGGGATACTCTTGTCTTTTAACATGAGTAAAAGATTGTTCACAGTCCTGCAGGTCCAGCCCAGATGGTTCCTCCTCCCACAAACAGGCCTCCCATTGAAAGGTTCCTGCTCAAAACTCCAGAGAGTCTCAGTTTGTGTTAGTGGCACACACACATCTTCACATCTGCCCATCACGAATAGCTGTCTCAACTTTCTGTTATCCCTTTCCTGGCATCCTTGGGTCCCAGGACCAGTTTGGTTTGTATCCCTGTGGCCATCAACCCATGATTAGAGCTTAGTGAGATGGTCCCACGAGAAGGAAAGGAACATTCACCCTATGAATTATTCCCAAATCCTGTATGTTTTCCTAGGAGACAGCAGTGACCAGGGAGAGGACTTGCGGGTAGGAAGGGGGACAGAATTCCAAAGTCTCTCATTCTTCATCTGAGTGGCACTCCAGGAGCCAATGCACAGCCAGCAAAGGGCATCACACCAGCTGCCCTGGGTGTGTACGATGAGCTACTTCCCATGCTGGAGTAAGCATTCTAGACAGAAAACGTTGGGAGGAATCAGGGTCTCGATCAAACGCTGTCACACCCTTCTGTGAACCTTGTGCAAAGTCCTCATGCTGACTCGGCAAAGCTGGCAAGTCTGTGGAAGCCGGGCTGGCCCAGGTGCCCCTTGCCCTCTGCTTCTTCTCTAGGCCTGGTCCTCTCTCTAGTCAACCCTCCCTTTTCATTCTTACATGTATGTGCTTGTTCTCCAGTCCTCCTCAGCAGAGAGGGAAGTGGCCTTCTGCCTGAAGCTCCTCCAGTCAGGGATATCTTCCTGTCGTTAGGCAGCCAGTGGCTACTGAGCGTCTCAAAGCCTGGTCATTCTTGTCTGCCGTGTCTTTCTCTGGGAACTCACCCATGTGGCTCTCTCCGGAAGTGGCTTTCCATGGTAGCACAGGGATCAGGTTATAATCTGTGCAATGGAGTGTGTGGGTGTCAGTGACGCCTGTATGCTTGTCTTCGTCTGTGCTCTGCTGCTATACTAACTCCCTGAGGCTGGCACCTTATAAAGGAAGTCATTGTATTTTGCTCACAGTTTGAGAACCTCCCCTGATGTTAGAACTTGATGGATGCCTCTAATGGAAGGAATACATATGAAAGGGATGAGCAGCTTGTGTGTAAAAGAGGGGTCCTGTGGCAAGACAGCTGGCTGAGCTCACTTTGTGACAGCTCGCCGTCTCAGTAACTGTAACAGTCCCATGAGACCTAGCTCATTCCCTTGAGAATTAATCAATTAATTAGTAAGCATGAATTCCTAGTCTCCTCCTAGAAAGCTGCAGACCTTTTAAAGGCCCATGACACTGGAGACCAAGTCTTTGCATGAGGACCTTAGAGACAGACCAAAGCAGCATCCTCCTGTAATGCCATTCATTAATGAGCCAGAGATATGCAAAGGATCTTAGTTATGTGGCCCAGGCTGGCCTCTTGAGTTTCCATCCTCTTGCCTCAGCCTCCCAAGTGCTAGGATGCTACCATGCCCAGCTTGGTGTAGTGTTTTAAAAATACATAAAATCAGTAAAATATTATAAGGAAAACCAATTAGTGGAAATGCAGCTATCAAAATGTTAAATGAATTTGTGATATGGTCCGATGCGGTTGTTTTTTTGTTTTGTTTTTTTACTTTTGCTTCAGCTGCTGTTTATTGACATTCAGGTGGGCACTATAGCAACAGGCCTGGAGATGCTGCAGCAGTAGCCTGGAAGGTGCAGAGTGGAGTGTGTGTTCCCGCAGTAACAGCTGAGGGGTGCACAGGGAGGCGGGGGAGGCCAAGGCTGTTGGGGAAGCAAGTCAGGGCCAGGGCCAGACGTTATCACACAGGAACCTGGGCCCCGTGCCCTCAGCCCCTCCTACACTTGCTGTCTCCAGGCCAGGGCTGGGAGTTCTCTGGGCAACTTTCCACAGGAGCAAAGTATGCAGAATGTCACTGCCCTTTTGTGATAAAGCCAGAGGGTTTCCAGTTCTGCCCTATGCGTTTATATTATACATTAGCTAACAAGAGCCTGGAGCAGGTCTAACAAGCACCTTGGTTTTGAAGCCGTGATAAACAAGGGTGGTATTTTGAGAAAGTGTTGCAGCAGTACAGCGAAGTGACAGTCCCTGTGAGTTCTGCGGGTGACAGAGTCCCAGGTATCGCTGATACTCAGTGGTTAGTTGCTTATCCCAGTGATTGAACAAAATGTAAGTTTGAATGGTAAGTTAGAGAGAACGAAGGAGCGAATTTTCATAACATTCTATGCATGGCTCTCTGTGGACCTAGAAACCTACAGGTGGCCATTGAAGGCAAAGGAGAGGGTGGTTGTGTTGGCTAGTTTGATCTCAACTTGACACAAGTTAAAAGTTGTTTTGGAAGATGGAACCTCAGTAGAGGAAATGTCCCCACCAGATTTGCCTGTGGGAAAGCCCATGGTCCACTTCTTGATTGATGATTGATGGGGAGGGCCCAGCTCATTGTGGATGGTGCCACCCCTGGGCTGAGCAAGCCATGAGAACAACCTGTAAGCAGCACCCCTCCGTGGCTTCTGCATCGGCTCCTGCCTCCAGGTTCCCGCCCTGACCTCTTTGGATGATGGACTGTGATGTGGAGGTGGAAGTCAGTGAGCCCTCTCCTCCCCAAGTTGCTTATGGTCATGGTGTTTCTACAGCACCAGAGACCCTGAGACATCGGCACAGGAAGTTTGGGACAGGGATGGGCTGCAGGGGCTGTGGCACTGCAGCCTCCCTGGAGGCTGCTCTGTTATTAGTCAGTCTGTCATTGGCCCTGGGCTGCTTCCTGGGCCGTGGTGGTCGGCCTAAGAAGGTCTCTTCTGTGGATGTCTTTGAGCCCTGAGCTGGTCCACAGCCACATTCATTCTCAAACATGTCTGTGCCCTGGCTGCATGCAGTAGACTGCTTGTGCTTTTTCAATTCCAAGGGTCACTTAACCAACCAGCCAACCACCCTTCTTCAGAAACCAGTTGGACAGCCAAGCCTAGAGGCACTGGCCTGAAATCAGCTATTTAGGATTCTAAGGTAGGTAGGAGCAGATTCAAGACCTGCTTGGCTGACAGAGCAAGTTCAAGGCCAGCCTGTCTCAAAATAAAATATTAAAAAAGGGGGTTGGCTGGGGAGGTACTTGCCTAAGATATCCCCAGTATTACAAAAGAAGCCAATTGGGAACGTTTTATTGGTGCTGCACTCGATGACTTTACAGGGAGAAGGCGCTCTTGTCTGGCCCTGGCTGTCACTCCAAGGGTTTGCTATCATCATAACCTTTGATCCTGAGGGTGTCCTGGAGTGCTTAGTGATTGCAGCACATGGCCTTGCCTGGTGGCTTAGGCTGAGCCCAGGATAAGGTAGATGGTGTGACTGAGCCCTGTGGAGGGAGGGGTAAGTGTGGTCATCCCTCAGTATCCCAGGGGCTTGTCCCAGGAATCCCTCAGACACCAAAATGTTCAGATGCTCAAGTCCCTTATATGAAACAGGCAGTAGGCCCAAGTCTGGCTGTCCAAAGGGATCTTAGGCCTTTGAGACAGTTCCAGACAAGAGGCCGAGAACCTTCTAGATGGGATGATTACATGCCAGGGGTAGCTGGCACTTTGTAGACTTGAGCTGACTCACAAGGAGGAGAGGAAGCTAGGTGAGCATTTTTAGCCAGTGGTGCTGTGGGAGGGGGTGACTTGGTGTGAGCCTATCCGTAGCAGGGGTCCCCATGCATTTGCTCATGAGGACCCTGTAAAGATGAGTTTCTTTTCTCTGATTGTGATGGGTGTTACTGAGTGGGTGGGAAGGGTGTGGGAGTCCCTGGAGTGTGGGTGGGTGCTGGAGGGCGCACTTTCAGTTCCTGTCAGCCAGGCCACTTGGGAGCCATGCTTACAAGCTGTTACCAGGACCCTCCTGCCCTTTCATCCCGGAGGCCGAGAATGGCAGACATAAGCCCTGGCTTTGTGGAAGCCCTGGATACCCATGCCCACGCAACTTCCCGCTCGCTGTCCTAGGAGGAAGGAAGGGCAGGTGCCGGGTAGGAGTGAGTGTCTGCAGCATGGGCCTGTGCGGATGCTCCCCACTCCACAACCCTTCCTGCCTCCTAGTTGGGGCTGATTCCGCACCCTCTAATCTGCACAGTTGGGGTGTGGCCCCCACAAATTAATGGTAACAATGGCACACGCAGCAGTCATTTATCAAACACTTGCTGCGTGTCAGGCAGGGTGCTCGGCACAGGACACAGGGACTTGGACAGATCTCGGTCTGTCTCTCGGAGGACCTGTTTCAGCTAGAGATCTGGTCTGATGCAGCAGCTCTAGGTCTGTCTCATCAGTTAGGGACCTGGTTAATGCTGGCAGTTCACTACAGGGATGGTTTCACAGAACCGCAGGGACATGAAAAGAACCGGGAAGAAGAGGAGCCTGGTGGCCCTGCTCTACAGGACTGGCTCAGGCCATTTAGTTTTATGGCCCGCCAGGAAAGGCCTCAAGGGAGCAGGTTCTCTCTGCCCACTGTTTTACCCCTCCCCCTCCTCCATCTCGCACGCTTTCCTCTGGAATCCAGAGGCAGCGCCCAGGCCAGTGGACCTACCAAACTCACTCTATAGGCTCAAGACACCGTGGGTGGGGTTGGATCTGGAGGGCAAGTGGGGAGACTGGCCTAGTGCTATGTGGGGCACGTGGCAGTGGCTGGACAGGAGAAAAGAGTTCAGGAGGGAATGTTTACAAGGTGGCCCGGGGCCAAGATGTGTAGGAAGTGTGTGTGAGGCGCACACCACTGCAGTGTGAGGGGAGGCCCATCACAGCCCTCTTTCAGAGCTACTGTGCTCTGGGTTGAGCCTGCTCCTGAAGCTGCCCCCCAGCTGGCCACTTCAGGGGTTCCCTCTTGCACGTCTTACCCTTGTCTGAGTTCTAGCTGCCTGGCTTGGCCTGCCTGCCTGCCTCCCTGAGTTCATTCGTTTACCAGGCATTGACACCAGTTCTGCCTTTGTCCTGGCGTCTCTCACGTTAGCCTGTGCTGTGCACATGGGAAGGGGCTGCTACAGGGTGGGAAGCTCAGACCAAGAAGGCAGTGGAGAGTTTCTTAACGTAGTCCAGGTACGAGGTGGACCTGGCCACCCTGAGGAAGCCCCCTAATTTCTCAGTAGGCGTGGGTGGTGGAGCAGAGGTGGAACGAGAAGGCAGGAGGAGGCAAGGTTCAGGTCTTTATTGTGCTCACTGAGTTTGAGGAGAGATACGTCAGAGGGCCAGGGGCCTCTCCGTCTGGAGGGACGTCATTGGCCTGTGGCAGTAGATGGCACTTAAAACTGAAGCCCTGAGTAGACCCAGCTGTGCCCAGTGGAGGGAGAAGTGTGGACCTAGCCCTGGGGTTCCAGTAGGAGGTTGGCCTGGAAGTGATGGGGAACTGAGTGAGGTTGGAGGAGCTGTACTGTTCAGCAGTATTGTCTACCCGTGTCATGGCTACAGAAAGGCCTGGTGAAGACTAGATCGAGACCCGCGGCAGATTCAGGAATGTAGGGTCATTGTGGTCAGATAGCTTGTGTTGGCTTAGGGGAGCCATGTGTAGGCCTCATGGGGTTGTCGTGAGAGCCGGAGGCTGGGTTCCTCCTTAGAGTATTTACTCCAAAGTGGAGGAACAAATGGATTACTGAGAGCAATGAGAAGTATTTTTTTCTGTTTCTAGGGTCAGGTTATTGCACATCTGAATGTTGAAGGTGCCCCAGTGGGGGAGAAACATTGCAGAAGCAACCTGTGACTAGGTATGGGGAGGGGGCAGGCTGTACACAAGTCACAGGTGTGGCATGGGACCTGAGCTACCCTAGAAATCTAGGGAAGCACATTTATCTCCCAGTGACACCAGGCCTGGCCCTTCCCAGACCCTGTAGACTTTTCCAGAACACCAGCTTTGCTCTCCTGGAGGTCTGCACTCTATCTGCTGGTCACAGGGCACGGTGCTGTGGGGGTGCACTGAATGTGTGTACCGAGGGGTTGGGCATTGTTGGGTATGGGAACTACCAACATTGGCTCAAGGCTGGCAACATGTGAAGGAGGGCAGAATGGGGAGGGAGTTCATGGTGGCCAGTGCTGTCTGGGTCAGAGCTCAGCTTTCTCACCTGTTCTAGAAAATCCAAAGCCCATGACAGGCCCCGAAGGGTAGCACATGAGTGACATCTCTAGCCCCTGCAGAGGCTTTCCCTCACACGCCTTGCCCACCTACCAGCTGAGAAGGTACCCCTCATTGCCAGGGTAAGCCAGGCACTTAGGAGCAGAAGGGTAGACTGTGATGGACAAGCCTCAATAGCCTTGGTTGGCTCCGTGAAGGACCGTCTCTGGGACCCAACAGGTTACGTTCCGGCTGGCTTACCACAAGTTGATGGAAGTGCCCCCCCCCCCCCCCCACAGAGGCCCAGACCACAGGTGATAGACGCATGAGGGAGGTGCTAACCGGCCTGTGCTGTATCTGCTCATGTCTCCACAGCCCTTCGTTCTCCCTGGGGAATGAGACCCTCAAGGTGCCGCTGGCACTGTTTGCCCTGAACAGGCAGCGTCTGTGTGAGAGGCTGAGGAAGAATGCCGCTGTTCAGGCCGGCTCTGCTGTTGTGTTGCAGGGAGGAGAAGAGATGCAGCGGTACTGCACCGATACCTCCATCATCTTCCGCCAGGTGAGCCTTCTCCCGTTCTTACAGGCCTGTCTGCCTCCAACACCAGGCACGGGCTTCCCAGGGCCCTGGAGGCAGCGTGCGAGCAGGAATCCCAATCTCCAGCCTCACCTGCTGGGCGGAGCTGTCGAGGCATGGAAAGAGATCCTTGGGGGAGCAAGCAGGCTGGGCTTCGTGGAGGACTGGTGTGAATTCGGACAAGCAAGAGCACAGTGTGCATGGGAGTGGGTAAAACAGCGTGGCCTGGGCCACTGGCTACAGTTTGGGGGACAGCAGAAAGTCAAGCTGCAGATGAGGGGTTGAGTGCCCGGGACTGGATGCCGGCAGGGAGGAGAGCTGCGAAGATTGTGTCATCTGCCTGTTTGGAGGCCAGTGCTCGCCCTTGGCACCCTAACTAGACTGTGCACCCCCGTATGTGTGTCGGGGGCTCTATGAAGTTCTGGAACTCTGGTGTACAGCCTAGATATCCTGACATAGCCGAGAATTACTCCAGCAACACTTGCCCAGGAAGCTAGGTTGACCCAGAGTTGGGCCCACTCTCATTGATTCTAGCATCATGCCCACTTTACAGAGGAGGAGACTGAGGCCTGGGGAAAATAACTTGCCAACAGGTAGACCTGGAGTTAGAATCCTATCTTCTAGCTGGGCCTGATGATGCAGGCCTGTAATCCCAGCACTCAAGAGGCTTAATTATTTGGATCACTAGTTCAAAGCTAGCCTGGAAACTTAGAGAGACCTTACCTCAAAATAAAAAAGAGAACTGAGGATGTTGTTCACTGGTAGAACCCCTGCCTAGAATCCCCCAGTTATGGGCTGGGGTGTGTCTCAGTGGTAGAGCCCCTGCCTAGAATCCCCCAGTGAGGGGCTGGGGTGTGACTCAGTGGTAGAGGCCCTGCCTAGAATCCCCCAGTGAGGGATTGGGGTGTGGCTCAGTGGTGGAGCCCCTGCCTAGAATCCCCCAGTGAGGGGCTGGGGTGTGTCTCAGTGGTAGAGCCCCTGCCTAGAATCCCCCAGTGAGGGATTGGGGTGTGGCTCAGTGGTAGAGCCCCTGCCTAGAATCCCCCAGTGAGGGATTGGGGTGTGGCTCAGTGGTGGAGCCCCTGCCTAGCATGCAGTAGGCTCTAGCTTCAATCTCTGATACCACCACCTTATGTGTTTGTGTATGTATACATATGGTGTACGTACACACACACACACCCATGGCTATGGTTATTTCCTCTCTCAGCTTCCAGACTCAGAACTGTGGCCAAACCTTTCTGGGAGTGGGAGGTGGGGGCACAGCGGGATGTGAAGGGCAGGTGGTGTAGAAGGGAAGGAGCGTGGTCTGACCCCTGGGCTGGAGCCCATCCACTGCAGCAGGACACAAAAGGGTTCTGATCCTCTTGATCATCACCTCATTGTCCCCACAGCCGCAGGCCTGCTGTCCCCAGCTGCCAGTGTCATGGAGGTCTCAAGACTTGGCCTCATAGTCTTGAAGCTTCTAGAGATTTATACATTTGTAGTTTAAAAAATCACTTTTCTAAATTCAGCTGTGGGCTTCCTGGTGGATCTCATTCTGGGTTCATCTGAGAAGAGTCCCTCTCCGACTTCATACCTTGATGACACCAGCTCAGTGCTTAGTGCTAAGCGTGTGTGCGTGCGTGCGTGTGTGTGTGTGTGTGTGTGTGTGTGTGTGTGTGTCCGTCCATTTGGGTGCAGGTATTCTCTGTGGGTTTCTGAATTGAGCTTGTGCTTGGTGCTGTTGGCTGCTGGCTGTCATGGGCCCAGGAAGTGACCTGCAGATGCATGGGCTGGGGCAGTGACTCAGTGGACCAAAGTGCTTGCTGACAAACAACTTGAGTTCGATCCCCAGGACCCACACAGTAGAAGGAAAGAACCAGTTCCTGCAGGTTGTCCTCTTATTACATATGTATGCTGTGGTACACACAGATGTAATATACATAATAAATAAATAGATCAATTATTAATGTGATTTTTAAGAAAGAGGGTAGCCGGCAGGGTCACAGGGGCCCCGTCTGCTCTTGACAGACCATAGCATGGCAGGACGGACAGCTGGTAGCTGGACTGGGATCCAGGGCTGTGGCCATTTCCTAAGGGGAGGCCTGAGCCTCTGCTCCCCTCCCTCCTGTACCTCCTGCTCTGGTCACAGGGTAATGGGACCCTTGCCCCCTCCACAGGAGTCCTTCTTTCACTGGGCCTTCGGCGTCATCGAGTCGGGCTGCTATGGTGTCATTGACGTGGACACGGGAAAGTCAACCCTGTTTGTACCCAGGCTGCCTCCTAGCTACGCCACCTGGATGGGAAAGTAAGGAGTGGTCCCTGCCCTGGAACCAGGCCTGCTGGGGATGACGACAGGGTGGGCACGGGAGGGGGTTAGTGGTCAGGCCCTTTGCTGGCAAGCTCTGTTTCACAGCCCTGAACCCCAGTTGGGAAGAGGGGTCAGATGCAAGCTATGGGGTGGAGGCAAGGTTTACTGAAAGCCCAGATTCCCTGCATACTAAAAAGCTTTTGCACCAGTAGGTGGTCGCTTCTGCATGGGCTTGATGGGTGTGTGTGTGCTGTCTAGGCCCCCTTTCTGGGCCTCGTTACCCATGTCCAGGGGGTTATTAATGCCCACCTCTGGCCACAGATGGCCTGTCCTTCATTAACCTCTCTGGGAGAGATGGCGGAGGAATAGGGCTGTGCCATGTGAGGAGTCTGGGGCCAGAGGCCAGGCTAAGCTCCTTGGGAGAGACTGTCTACTTCCGCCTTCCAAGACACCTGGCAGCTCCTCCCTGCTCACAGCACTGATGTAGATGCTGTGTAACCAGGGACACTTGAAGTGATCAGGGAGTCTTGTCTTCCAGTCTGTCATTTCTGCCTGGTGAGTGATTATTCCAGCTAATGTGTAAATTGAAGCCTTTGCTACCTGGTGCCCCATCGTGCTCATTACCAGGTGGGCGGGGAGTCTGTGGCTGGTTTGAGTGACATGGCACCTGGCTGCCACAGGAACTCTGAGCTCTTTGCAGAGGGCAGGGCCCCTAAAGGGCTGTCCTCCAAACTCCCTCTGCTCTGCGTGCTGACTCCTGCTCCAAGCGGACTGCACAGCGTCCATTGCTGGCCCTGGCATGTTGCTCTCCTGCTGTCTTGGGGGAGGGCGTCCAGCTCCACAAATTGGCATCAGTTCTGCTTTTAGGCCGCTTGGCGGCATGCCAGGCTGGCCCTGGGCCACCAGCTTTGCTGTGAGGATGCAGCTGAGGCCGAGTTGGCAGCAGGAGAGAAACAGGCTCTGGTTCTCCTGTGAGGTTTTCTTGACTTGACCCTTGGGAGGGACCCAGGAAGGGTGGGGAGTGGACATGTCTCGTCTAGCTGCCTTTGGGATAGACAACAGGGAGAGGTCATGCCTAATCCCTCCCTAGCTTATGGTCCATTTGCAGCCACATCCTTACCACCTCCCTGCTATAAAGAGGAAACAAGTCCAGTGTGCTGGAAAGCCCTGTGTCAGCACCGTGGTCTGTTCTTGTGGGAGTTGTGAATGAAGTAAGGCTTGCCTGTGGTCCGTCATGGGCTCCACATGGTGGCCATGAAGTCCCAGGAGGTGAGGCTGACCGCCGCTTAATCCCTTCCTAGGAAACAGCACCATTACAATACAGTGCTGTCTTGTTGGGTTGGTTACACCTGAGGTGATGGCATGAGGTGATGGTGTTGCCAGGAGTGCAGTTATAGTGTCTCTGAATGTCTGATCTGGAAGTCACTGGACAGTCCCAGGCTGGCTTTGAGCTTGTGACCTGCCTGTCCAGAAAGGTGGAATCTGTTTCACCCCTGCTTGACCCTGGTTAGGACCATGATGGCAGGACATTGGCTATGTGACTTCTGAAGCTAGACTGTGAAGTGCACTGGGGCTTCCCCCAGTCCTCTCCACTGGGACATTCTCCTCCAGCTCTGCCCTATCATGAGGAAGATATCTGGAGGCTCTCCACAGACTCACCCGTGTGGAGAGCCTCCAGCTGGTGCCGCACCAGCCATGAGCAAGCTTCTGCTGAGGTCACAGGTGCCATGGAGCAGAGGTTAGCTGCACTGCCTGGGCTCTGTCTCACTTCCTGACCTGGAGAGTCCACATGTTAATGACCCTTCTTATTCCAACAAAATATCTCACAGAATCAACTTGAGGGAGAAAAGATGTGTTTTGGTTTAGTGTTTCAGAAGGCACAGCTCATCCTGGTGGGGAGGTCATGTCAGCAGGAGTGTGAGATCACATTGTGGCAGCCAGGGAAGCAGAGAACAGGACCACACTGGTGGCCAGGCTGTGACTCTCAATGCTTGCCCCCAGTGACCCAGCTAATAAAAGCTCTGCACCCTTCCAGAGCAGCACCCAGCTGGGGCCAGATATTCAAACAGATGAACCTATGGGAGACGCTGCAGATTCAGACCCTAGCAAGGACCAACCGTTTTCCGTTCCACTCAGTTTTAGGGTGGGTCGGGTATCACTCAACTGTAGTGTATTAGTCAGGCTTTCGCTGCTATGACAACATACCCAAGGGAAACAAATGAACAGGGGAAAGGTTAATTTTGGATCATGATTTCAGAGGTTTCGTTCTGTGGTCTGCAGGCTCCATCTCTGTGTCTGACATAAGGCAGAATACTACATTCACGCGAGCTTGTCACGCAGCTACCCCCTCATGGTAGTTCGAAAGGAAGGGGTAGGGGAAGACAGACAGACAGACAGACTAGGGTTCTAAAACACTCTTTTGAGGATATGTCTCCCAGTGCCTTACTTACTCCAATTAGGCTCCGTCCCCTAAAAGCCCCTCCTGAGCGTTACCTCACAGGGGAGCAAGCCTTCAACATGACACTTCTCATCCACACCATAACATCTATAACTGGACCAGCCTGGAGGGATGTGTAGGTCTCGTCTCTCTACGATGCTCCCCAAATCCTTCTTGCATGCTAAGCCATCCTCCTGAACAGAACCATGACTGTCCTTTCAACATCCCCTTGGTCCTACTTCCTGGCTCAAGCTGAGCTTGCTGAGATTTCCCGTTGCTTAGAGAGTCAGCTCTGAGGTTGGCATATCCTGTCATCTGTGAGCTGTGGGGGTGGACAGTGGGGGTCCAGGAGGGTCTGTTGGCCCTCAGTTGGCCCCAGCCAGAGTTTCTGTCTGGAGAGGTGGAAGGACATTGAGTGGGCCTCCTCTGCTGTCTCTTCTCTTTCTCTCCTGCCCCCTTCTTTCTTTCTTGAGATAGACTGTCACTCTGTAGCCTAGGCTGGCTCAGACTCAGATCCACCTGCCTCCTCCCCAGTGCTGGGATTACAGGTGACCACCACCATGCCCTGCCAAAAGAATGATGTGGGTGCATGTGTACACTAGGATTGACTCTAGGGCCTTGCACATGCTAGGCAACACTGTACCAGCTGAGCTTCTGTGTGGCGGATAACCTCAGAGGATGCGCTGTGGCTGCTTCAGCTCACACATAGGAGCAGTCTCCAGGCTCAGACACCTGCTCTGAGTTGCAGAATGCTCCTTTCCTCTTTGACAACTTAATGACATCTTGACA